CCCCAAAACCCCAAAACCCCAAAACCCCGAGAGAATAATTATTAAAGCAATCATAAATATTAGATTAATTAATTATTTAAATTGAATCAATGGCATAAAATCAACTTAAAAGTGAAGCAAAAGGAGGAATAATCTAGACTACTCCATTAAAGCAATACTACTTGAATCATAAATACTTCTAAGATTCTGTACAGGCTTAGATCTAAGAGCAAAAGATGCAATCAGCTACAGGATTAGTCCTAGGGACGAGAGATGAGGAGAAACTGTACATCTATGACGTTATTTTGACACCAAATCCAGAGAATACTCAGAAAGATATTAAACAGACAGGTCCTGATTAATAACCTTTGGAATAAAAAGGCCTTCTTTAGCTTCTCAATACAAAGTATACAGAGTTCAACTACTCAGATTGGCTTAGTGAATTCATTAATTCAGTAAGAAATTAATCATTTTAAATAGTTGTGTAGGTTGATAGAATGCTGACGACAGGTATTGAAGTAGTAGGTTTGTTTACTTATAGTTAGAGTTCAGATCATAAACAGCAAAGTTTCAAGAAATTGAATTCTTTAATGACGAGGCTATTCACTGTAGATCCAGAAGATGAAAAGGAATAGGAAGCAAGTGAAAACTTAAAGCTTAAAAAGCCTTTGAAAGACCAGTACATATTGATGAGTATATACAATCAGAAAGTAGGCTAGTCATTTGGTGATATAAACCTATATATGAACAATAATCTGCTACAAATATCAGAGTAGATTCGTAATCACAATATCATTGATAGAATTGTATATGCTACTATGTGCTATCCTGTCGACATTTAACTATCTTTTGCAAAAAATGATCCTAAAATCATGAGCTTTAGAGAAATAAATACCTTTGCTGAGGAATAGCTTAAACAAGAAATTAGTAATTGTGCTATACAAGTCAATTAATAAGTAGTTCTAACTAAAACATAAGCATCCAGTGTTAGCATCCAAAGTATTATAGAATGTTAAGGTAGCGAAGAACAAGTGTCAATAAACTTTAGCTCAAATGATAATAAGAAATAATCAGGGAATAAAAAAGCTGCTAAGAGTGGAAAATCTAATCCTAAGGATCAGGGAATTATATTATAGCAATATGAAATTCCAGAAATTGAAGTAAAAAAACTTAATGGATTTTTCATTAAACCTATTTCTGACAATATAAAATATGAGCATCTGCTAAGAATAAAGGGCAATCTTCATCTCAGTTGCTATGTTAATACTGAAAAATAATCACTGAAGGACTTAGTAAATCTATTGATCGAAGATATGAGTGCTTAGTTCAGATTGAGACTAGAAATTCTTTACGAAGAAGCTTAAAATAACAGTAATAAACATATAAAATATAGTTTTGTTGAACATTTATTTTATAGTTTCCCTTGTGAATCCTTTTGATCTCAATACAGATAACATGACTAGAATACAGCAATTTGATTTGTTACTTCCTAGAAAGTGCTACTTTAAGCTCCCAGATCATCTCAACGGTATAAAGTCAAAACTCATATTTAATGATTACCTTCTCTTCTTTGAAAATAACGCTGAAGCATAAAAGCGACTATTTGAAAGTACAGGACTCATTCCAAGAGATGGGGGTAAGTTGGAATCTAAAGAAACTATTTCAAAAGAGGAATGCGATAAAAAACTGCTGAAAATAAAAAATCCCATTCTCTAGCAAAAGCATGATATGTAATAGAGGACTGAGTAAGCCAAGAAGGTAGACGCGTAGTTGAATGAAGCTAAAAAGGAAAAGACTCCAATGGAGATCTCATATGAGCGCAGATAATAGTATTTGCAGAGATAGTTTAATATGAGATTAGCAGTAAGGATACTTATTATTTTTAATATTTCACTTTTAGTTTTTCTTAGTCTGCTTTGTTATGATGATGCTATCTTACGGGTATGTTTACTTTTATTTAATGTGAAGATTAATTAATACAAAAATATATTGCAATTTTTATAAACTATTGGATTTTGTTTGAGGGGTTTTGGGGTTTTGGGGTTTTGGGG